AGGAGGGGGAGGAGGAGGAGGAAGAGGAGGAGGTGGAGGAGGAGGAGGTCGATGAGGAGGAGGAGGACGAGGAGAAGGATGAGGAGGCGGAGGAGGAGGTGGAGCATGAGGAGGAGGAGGAGGAGGAGGAGGAGGAGGAGGAGGAGGAGGAAAGGGAGACCGAGGAGCAGGAGGAAGAGGAAAAGGAGGAGGAGGAGGATGAGAAGACCAGTGTAAACCCAAGAGCCATCAACGATGTTACGGCGATGTTTGAATATACTTTCCTCCAAGCTCCCTCTTCACAGGCCCCTACAACGGTTCATTTTCATTGAGGGAACGGCCTCGTTGACAGACGAACGTTTGAAGACCCTGAAGCATGCCAACACATTGTTTTCGGGATTCCAACGCCACGCATCAACCTGACTGCTGCGTCTTGACGATCCTGAATCTTGCCAGAACGCCATTCTTGGGACACGCAGCGAACCAGCATCATTGTTGCACCCGCATAATCTGGAGTCCTTTCAAAACACCATTTCTGGTAAGCTGATGATGAGAATCCGCGGAACGTTCTGCAATGTGTGTAAACGAGTGTGCGCGGCGCTAAGGCGAGAGCCACAGTTTGAACAGGAACCGCCCGCAATCCGTGAACCTCTTGCATTTTTTAATACGAAGGTGCGCCGCACTACGGCGAGGGCAACCTTTTGAAAACCACCCGCCCTCAATCCGTGACACTTGTTAGCGTTCGTTTTAGACGAATGTGTGCCGCGTTTCGGCGAGAGTCACATTTTGAAAACGACTTGCCCTCAACCCGTGAAGCTCTTGCAATTTGTTTAGACGAATGGTCGCCACGCTAAGGCGCCACATTTTGAAAACGACCCGCCCTTAATCAGTGAAACTCTTGCAATTGTTAAAAGCAAATGTGCGCCGCGCTAATGCGAGAGCCAATTTGAAAACGACCCGCCCTCCATCTGTGAAAATGTTGCGCCAACACTTAAGCTTCAGAGTCATAAGTGGTGAGGAGCTCTCAGGCGAAGCGCCCGACCCGCCCTAAAAACTTGCCTTGGGGTGCCACTGGGAAAAGTTATTTTTTCAGGAATTTAAATGGAAGAGGAAGGTGGAGGAGGAGGACGAGGATGAGGAGGATGAGGAGGAGGAGGGCGGAGGAGGAGGAGGCGGAGGAGAATGACGAGGCGGAGGAGGAGGAGGCGGAGGATGGAGGAGGAGGAGGTGAGGATGAGGATGAGGATGAGGTGAAGATGAAGATGAATGATGATGATGATGATGATGATGATGATGATGATGATGATGTGGATGATGATGATGACGATGCTGAGATGAGGATGCTGATGATGATGTTGATGATGATGATGATGATGATGAGGAGGAAGAGGAAAGAGGAAGAGGAGGAGGAGGAGGAGGAGGAGGAGGAGGAGGAGGAGGCGGCGAGGATGGAGGAGGAGGAGGAGGAGGAGGAGGAGGAGGAGGAGGAGGAGGAGGAGGAGGAGGAGGAGGAGGAGGAAGAGGAGTAGGAAACCGGCCCCGTTCTGGCCGTGGGCGGGGCCAGGTGGCGGGCCCTCCCAGGGCGACATGCTGCCCGTCCTTCCCCCCCATGCCCTCTCGGAAGGCTGCCCCCCTCGGCCCCGCCCCCTGGTCAACGCGCAGCCGGGGCGAGTCCGAGGCTCGCTCCCCCGAGGCCCGAAGGCCCGCAGTCCTGTGGGCGAGGGGGCAGTAAGAGGCAGGACGGCTCCGCCTTCGGGGGCGCCTTGCCCCAGGGCGGCTGGAGAGTTTGTGTTGCCTCCTGCTGCCACCGCTCCTCGTTGGCCTCCTTCCTATCTCGCTTCTCTCGTCTACTACTCCCTCCTCCTACCTCCCTCCTCCTCCTCCCTCGTTTCTCCTCCTACCTCCCTCTTCCCTCTTCTCCTCCTCCTCCTCCTCCTCCTCCTCCTCCTCCTCCTCCTCTTCCTCCTTCTCCTCCCTCTGCTGCTCCTCCTCCTCGTCCTCCTCCTCCGCCTCCTCCTCTCTTCCTTTCCTCTCTCCTCATCTTCCTCCCATTTACTCCCATCTGCGTTACGCTCGTCTCCCGTTTGCTCCCGTCTCCTCCTCCCCGTCTCTCCCTGCTCACTGTCCCTCCTCGTCCTCTTTCCCCATCTCCTCCTTCCCCCCCCTCCCCGCCCCCTCTACCTCTCAGACTCTCGGCCCCGGGCGCGACGACGGTCCCCCTCGGTGCCCTCTGGTGCGGGACGCGGCGTTCGAGGATGCCCAGCAGCGAGAGCATGTAGGCAAGCGGATGCGACCGACAGACTCGGATCCCCGCACCCCTCAGAACGAGCACTTCGAGCCAGCTGGTCTTTGACTGGCCTTGGAGACCACCATGAAACGACCCAGGATGATGCATCGGCCCTGGGGAGGGCGCCGAGAGCCCCGGGGAGCTCACGCCACGGGTCACGCAGCACTTGTGACAGGGGCGGTCGCCGCTGGGGGGGGGTGGGGAGAGGGGGGGGGGGCGGGGGGGGCCCTACCCTGCGGCGCCTCGAGGTGCGCCAGGCTGGGCCCGCGCACGCGGGCCGCGGGTCCTCTCTCCCTCCTCTCCTCCGGGCTCCTCCCTCCCTCCTGGCGCCCGGGGGCGTTGGGCCCACGGGGGGGGGGGGGGGGGCGCCCGCTGCTCCCCCCTGGGGGCGCTGCAGCTGCGGGCCGCGGCGGGCCCAGCTCGACCCCCCCCCCCAGGGTGAAGTCGGGCCTGTCCCTCGACAGGAGGAATATTCGAAAATAGTAAAAATAGTCAGGGGACTTTTTTTCGGGTATTGTTTGATCATTGTGGAATATGTTTTGACTATTTTCAATTTTCCCTCCAAACTCCCCCTGTAGGGGGACAGGCCCGAGTCAACCCTAGGGCCGCCGGTCCCCGCTGTGGGAGGGCAACACGCTCACCCTGGAGAGGGCGACGACGGTGAGGCCGTAGGAGGACGGGCGGGCATCCCAGCCGTCGGGGCCGACAAAGGGACTGGTGGTCGTCGATGCGGAAGTCGGCGTGCCCCGATGGCCGAGCCTGTTGGCGTTGGGAGTCGTGGGTGATGCTGGGGGCGGCGGAGGTCTGGCAGCTGCCGAGCAGGCCGCGCAGCGGACTGGGCCACCGTTGAGGCCGTTGAAGCTACCAGTGTTTTGTCGCTTGGGCCTACCTCGCCGCTACGAAAGTTCGGCCACCATGCAGCGCCTCCCGTTAGGCGACGGGGTACCGGGCACAACATTGTCAGTGGCGTTGCGCCCGCGACAAAATATGAGACGTCAAAAGGGCCCGCTAGGCCGCGGGGCCCCAGCACAATGTTCTGTTCAAGTATGATGCTGCTCAAGTCTCGGGCGGAACCGCCCTTGCGAATTCGAGACCCATGGTCTCGAAATCCCATCGAGATTGTTTGCTGGAGGAAATTTCGATACTACGGCTTCGCTTGAGAATTCGTCAAACAACAACTTCGAACGATTTCGAAACTTTCGGTTTTGATTTCGTAATGGCGCTCCCGCCCAAGACTTCCTCCAAACCAGAATTGGAGCCTTTCTGGTTCGGTTTCGTAATGGCGCTCCCGCCCAAGACTTCCTCCAAACCAGAATTGGAGCCTTTCTGGTTCGGTTTCGAAACGGCGCTCCCGCCCAAGTCTTCCTCCAAACTAGAATTGGAGAATTTATGTTTCGGCTTCGAAATGGCGCTCCCATCAGTGACTTTGCCCGAAACAGAATTCGGAGCCTTCCGGGTTCGATTTCGAAATGGCGATCCCGCCCAGGACTTCCTGAACATTGGAATTCGACACCCTTCTGGCTCGATTTCGAAATGGCGCTCCCGCCCAGGACATCCTCTCAACATGTTGGCAGCTCGAATTTGCAATGCCGCTCCCGCCTAGACTTGTCTTGGTGGAAGCACGAAACGAGTCAAAACCTGCGTAGCGCCGATGTAGTACTCGCCCATTGGAACCGAGAGCAGCGCTGACCAGGGTGTGAGGGTGTGGGCAGAGCATCAGACGCTGCGGCGCTGCTGGTCGCAGCCCAGGCCATTCACCTCGTGGTAGTGCAAGTCTCCGCCTTGGTGGCAGTGCTGCTTGTTGCAGCCGTGGCGCTTCCTCGTCGTCCTCCACCTCCTCTTCCTCCTCATCGTCATCATCATTATATTTATCCTCATCTTCACAGTCAGCATCGTCGCCATCAGCATCACCACCATCCTCATCCTCTTCCTCCTCCCCCTCCGCCTCCACACCATCATCATCATTCGCATCATTATTGTCATCATCAGCATCACCATCATCACCATCAGCATCATCATTACCATCACCATTACCACCAGCATATTCATCGCTATGTTCTTCTTCATCAGCATCATCACCACAGTAATCATTACCGTCACCCTCATACTCATCACAACCATCATTATCACCATCACCATCATCATCATCACTATCACCATCACCATCATCATCATCATCATCATCATCATCATCATTATCATCATCATCATCTTCATCTTGCACCATCATCATACTCATCATACTCATCACCTCATACTGATCTTCACTAGCATAAGCACCATCACCATCACCATCATCACCATCATCACCATCATCATTCTGCACCATCATCATCATACTCACCATCATCAGCATCATGATAATCATCACCATCATCAGCATCATCACCAGTTCATGACCTTTACCTTTATCATGATCATTATCATCTTCATCGTCGTCCGTATCCTCATCATCATCATCATCACCATTAGACTCATCATCATCCGCATCCTCATTATCATCATCATCCTCATCATCATTCTCCTCTCCCTCATCCTCCTCCTCCTCCTGATCCGCATCCTCATCCTCATCCTCATCCTCATCCTCATCCTCCTCCTCCTCCTCCTCCTCCTCCTCCTCCTCCATCCTCCGCCTCCTCCTCCTCCTCCTCCTCCTCCGCCTCGTCCTCCTCCCTCCACGTTCTCGCTCCGTCCTCTCCCTCCCTGCTCCTCCGCCCCCCGCCCCTGGGTGCAGGAGCTGAGGTCGAAGTCCACCACCCACACGGGCAACCCGCACCCCAAGGCGTCCTCGGCCCGTCGCGGCCCCTGGCTTCTGGGGAAGGTTGGGGGGTGGGAGCAGGGAGCAGAGGGCAGGGGAGAGGAGGATGAACGGGGAGGACGATGAACGGGGGCGGAGCGAAGGAGGGAAGGAGGGAGGGAGGGAGGGATAGAGAGAGAGGGAGACTGAGAGTGACAGAAAGGAGGGAGAGAAAGAGGAGAGAGAGGGAGATACAGAGAGAGGAGAGAGAGAGAGAGAGAGAACAAAAAAGAGATGAGAAAGAGAGAGATATCCGAGAAAGAGGGAGAGAGAGAGAGAGAGAGAGACAGCGAGAGCAAGAGAGAGCGAGAGAGAGAGAGAACAGCAAAAAAAGAGAAAAAGGAAATTGAGGAGGAAGGAGGAGGGAGGGCTAGAGGCGCCCGCCGCGCCTTCTTCTTGTGGCGGAGGTGCCGCTTGTGCGAAGCAGGGGTCGGGGTTTCGTGCCGAAGCCACGGAGCGAAGAGGCCGATCCCACGATGGGCACGCTTCTCTTCGGATGGCGGTGCCTATCAGCCGCCCGGAGACGCCCCCCTACCCCCCCGCGGCAGGGCCTGCCATTCATCGCGTGGAACACCCTGCTCGCGTGGAGCCAGCACCGGGAGGACCAGGGGTGCAGCCTCCCTCTTTCCTCGACCTCCGTCGGATTGGTGTTTTCAGCCCTGGCGTCTTTCTGGAGGACTCTATGGGCCCCGGGACCATCAGCCAACGATCTGGGCACGAAAAATAAATCGTCACCTTCGCTCCCTCCTCCTGTCTCTCGAGATTCTATACGCGTGCCGCCGCACTTTGCCCAAGACCATTGTGAGGATGGGACGCAGCTGGTGTCACAGCGGAAAAAGGTGCGCGCGCCTCTCTCTCTCTCTCTCTCTTAACGCGCGCTTTATCATTCTGAGCTCTCACATGTTTTGGAACAGTGCAGCTATGTCGAACGACGTCGTTCGGATCCCATCCATCTACAATATCCAAATGGAAAGGGGGCCCCCTCTGAGTGCGATGTTGGAGCAAGGGATACGCTTATTTGTCAGGGTCTGGGGAAGACAGGTTCTCAGCCGAAAGTATCTTGGAGAGGAAATTTGGCGCAGTAGCGCAACGTGATCACCACAGGCGCAGCAATTCGAAAACTCCCAGAAATTGCCGTGAGAGCTTCAAGCTCGACGAATCGTTAGGTTATCTTGTCAGAACGACCATAACGGTGGGCGTGGAAGCATACAACATGTCCATTTCCCCGCAAGGAAGAACAATGTACTCGAGGAAACCCCCGTTTACGTTGGATTTGCTGACGTACCGAGTTCTTCGCCATCCGAATTTGAATAAAAAGGCTACCGTAGGGGTCGGAGGTCGCGGTGGCCCCAGCGACGCCGACGGAGGTTGTGGCAATGAAGTCCTTGCGAGTAGGTTGGGCCAGAGAGTAAAGCAGGTCCCATGCGCCCGACCTGGATCTGGTCCGCTGCGGCGCGTGAAAGAAAACATACCTCGACTTTCCTCGCGTTTGGATACGCCAGGTGGAGTTCACCGTGAAAGGGCCGTCGGTATTGAGCCGCGATTCTGTCATGACTTGTTCCTGGATGGCCTCGAGGAGTGGCCTTGGGCTTTCCCTCTCTCCTGGAAGTGCGGACTGACGGCCTACGAATGCGGGCGGCCGTGGCACGATCGATTCGCAGAGCGCAGGCGACAGGCGATGACAAGGCCACTGCGGCCCTAAAGAAGGGATTGGACTGGCTAAAGGACATCGGGAAGTGGGGCGAGTCGGCACTGAAGGAATGGTCCGAAGTATTACGAATGATTAATTCTTCAAAGTACCCACGTTGGGATATGATTTGCCTCATTGGCGCGGCGTGCAACAAGCAGACGCTAGAGAGGCCCACGCAAAGTCGAAGCTGGGTGGAACACTAGCATGGGCCCGGCTCGCTAGGGAGGCCGGGGCCGAGAGCTGAAAGCATATGAGGGTCACGGCCTGCCATCTGATATTGTCCGTATGTGGCCACCCTGGCGCCAGGGGCTGTTGGGAACGACGATGTGAGGGTAACGTGGGTCCCATGGGGTTCCAGCTCATCCAGAACTGAAGCTGCTCTTCATCTTCTTCATTTTTATGGACGATTGCATGCGTGTTTGGTGCGATCGGATACTTGAAGCAGCGCTGGGAGCTTTTGCCTGCGCCTTCGGAAAACCGACCGAAAAGGAGAGACATATACCCTCTGACCGACGTTGGCCGATATCTCGCGTGCGAACATCGAGTGTGCGATCGAGGAATCGAGTGGCAAGGCGAGAACCCAACTGCGTTGGATCCACCCGCCCCTTCGCCTGCAAACGTGAAAGATGGCCATTGTTCCTGGGCCAGGCGAGACCCGCACACCGTCGAATATGAGGAATCTTTCGGGGGAGGGCCAGAATGGCAGTCAGCCCAGCACCGAGTGTTGTTAATAATGACAGTGGACGTCATCAGCGATGAGTACTTCTAGGAAGACGATGGTCGGGAAATACGTTGTAACTTCTGCCGAGTGGCGTCGCTAACATCACCGCCGTCCGCTATTCCGGGTGCGAGGATACGGTGTGGATCGGCGGCTCCATGGTTGCGTCGTAGAACCGTTGGCCGAGATTCTCGCGGGCTCTGCCCCTGCAACTTCTGCTCCAGGCCCCGAGAAAACAACATGGGAGTGATCGATTGCGACATAGGGGATTTCTTTACCTCGCTCGTTGCGTTATATGACGACTTGGCCGACGCTGACCCTGAGACATGCCTGGCCGCGTTTGACGGGCATGAGACAGGAGAGCACGAAGACGGACCGGGCGGGCCGAGGGGGGAAATCCCTTCCCCCGCTGAGGAGTCCATGGCCGACTTCCCTGGCATCGACACCGACGTTAGCCCCTTTTGACCGCGGCGTGCATGTGCGCGGAGGCCCCCTAAACTCACCCGGAGAGGACGAGTGCCGGCTTGCGTCGCCAGGCAGGCGTCAGCCGATAGACGCTAAATTTATGCTGGAGATGTTGCTGGGCGCCCGCGTTGTTTGCGTCGACCTCATTGGCGCAGTCTGCCGAGTCTGTTATTTGTGGCTTGTGGCGGAACGAGCGGCAAGATGTGGATCAGTTCCGGCTGATCTGTTATGTCCAGAGGCTGCGCTGCAATTCGGGCGGGTGCCGCGGGTTGGGCCCCCCCCCCAGCGAAGTCATATTGAAGCAGTTTCGGATGCCGACCTGGCAAGTGGCGACTTCGGAACTCCTCGAATTACGAGTGAACTAATCAGAAAAATCTGGGGCCCCCATGCGCGGCCCAATCAGAACATGTTGTCGGGGCGACAGACGCGCGTATCTCACAGCGCCACAGAGAAGACATCGTCGCGGCCGATTTGGCGTGGAGATCGGAGCGGCTGCCCTCGATGCCCTCGCGCGGGGCCCTGGTGGGTCGGGCGCCTCTCTGCGTCGCTGCCGAGGAAAATTCGGCAGTGCGCAAGATGCAGCGCGGGGGGGCGCAAGGAGCTCATTCGCGCGCCTCGTGCTCATGGCATAGACGCTTCAGCCGTCGCTGAACAACTTGCACGGGGCATCGTCCAGCTGGTGCATGAGAGGCGCAGAACCAGAGCGCGCACGTCGGTGCCGAGGAGGTCCTGTAACTGGCCTAACGGGTCAAAACAGTTTGATTGGTGCAGATTGGGGCCCGGAGTCCTGGTCTTTTCCAGACTACGAGGGATGTGCAGTCCATGCTTGAAGATGCCCCCCCCGAAACCTAGAGGGGCGGCTGGGCCGCGCGTCGGGTCGTCGCTGGAGCAGCGTTTCGGAAGCGGCACGACTCGACAGAGAAAGGCCCTGAAACCATTGCGCGAAGACAAAGGGCGGCGCCCCGGCGACCGGCAATGCTGCTTCAGGAGCCGTCGAGGGTGGTTTCGCGGCAACCATATGTAGTTTGTCCTTGTTTTAGTTTCGCCGTGGAGAGAGTCTCAGTCTTTGACAGTCGAGGCTTTCGCCCAGAGGAACCTGCGAGGTAGTGGGATTGATCCGGGGCGATGTCTTGCCACTGAAGCTGGGGTCGACAAGGATATGCGGTGCATTCAGGCGTCGACTGGAATGGGCGTTGCCCCGTGGGCCCCAATACCTTGCGCGGGGTGTCTTCCTTGGCATTTTACGGCGGAGGCCGCGCGCAATCGGGCGTGAAATACTAGGGCGCAGATGTCGCGAGGGAAGGCGAAATGAGGCTCGGCAACTCATTTGGTCCTCCCGACTACATGCGCAGATGGCGTTTGAGATGCAGGGTATATTGCGTGCTTGGGCCGGTCCTCTCAGCGTCAGTAATTCCGCGTGGCGTGATTCGCAAGTCGAGAGCCTTCGACTGAGCGCGGTTTTGCGAAGGCGAGCATGCGCAGACGCGCGCAAGGGTTGTGGGCCGCGCGCGGTCGATGCACGGAGAAATTCTGGGTCGCGGCCACGAGCTATGGAACACGAGCGCCCATGTTGCCATGTTGAGCGATGGGAGCCACGGGCGTGTCATGGGCAAGGTCGCGGAGGAGTGCACTGATGACGTGGTGCGCGCTGTTCGCCGTGCACGTGCGGCTTTGTCGCGTGAGGCGTCGCGCGTTGTGCCTGTTGTGGTTGTATGTGCGTGCGCAACCGTCGTGGCATCAACGGCGCTGGGCCCTTCGCCCCGCGCTGCGATCCGCGCCGCGCCCCCCACGGGCGCGCCCGCCGATCCCCGGCCCCCGCGCCGCGCCCCCCCAGCGTTCGTTGAGTGATCTTGCGTGGTCCGCCATTGGCGGCGGCTTGCAGTCTGACAGCGCGTCGCGCATCGTGCGCGGTCGCGGCAACGACATCTGGCGCGCCGCGCTGGAGAGCAGAAAAGATTGTCCTCTCGCGCCCTGGGGGGCATGGGTGGTGGTGGACATCTTGGAGTCAAGGGTGGCCCAGAATGGTGCAGAAGGTGAGATCCGGCAGCCCCTCGGGAGATTGCGGGCGCTTGCTGGGGCTGCTGACGTGGTGCCCAGCGACCCCCTACCCCCCCAGGGGTGCGATTTGGGATGCGTCCTAGAGACTGAACCGAGAGAGTTTGACATGTCGGAGCCAGCCCCCCTGAGAGCGCAGCTCGTGATGGGCGAAGGGTTGAAATCGGCGGTTGATTGGCACTTCGCGCAGAACCTCTACCCGGTGCTCGATGTTCGGTCGGGCGCCTCAGCGAAGTAGATCCGCGTGGCGAAGACCAAGATGGTATAATGATTCAGCCCTGCGTCGATGGGACTTGCCAGGGAGAGGTGGCGTGGACAAAGTTTGCTTGAGAAGTTATGCTTCAACCTGCAGCTCCAGTGGAGCGACGGCGCTTGCTGGGGGGGTCGGCGATGAGGTGGGGCGCCCAGCGCGCGTGGCGCCATCTGAAACATTGGGGAACCTCGCAGCGCGGGGCATCGCCGAAAGAGCTCCAGGAGGGAGGCCTCGAGAAGGGCGCGGCGGCTACGGCCGCGGAAGTCGTCGAGAAGCGGAAGGATCTGCGCCCGGGATGCGTGGAGTGCGATAATTCCCAGAGTTGTCTGGGGGATGCAATGGTTCGCCTCGCGGATTTGCCATCGTTCATTATTTCAGAATTGCGCATCGACTCGGAGACTGGATGCTCGGGGCCGAACGCGCCCCAGTCGAGTGCGCCCGGAGACAGATGCATTCGGGTGGCGGGCGCCTTGGGAGGAATCAGACTTCTATTGCTGGCGTGAGCGCCCCAGCTGCTAGAGACCGCGGTGCCGCCGCGACGGCCGGCCCGACCGCCCGCGACGAAGATTGCGTCCGCGGAAGGGGGCGTTCCACGGTGGCCGTGTCCACCGCGGCAGGGCTGGAGCTCGCGAAGCGGCCGTGCTCGCGGAGCAGATTCGGCGAAAAGGATCAAGAGGGGGCGCGCGCGTCGCTCGCGATGCCACCCTGGAAATCGCGCGCCCCCTGGCCAAAGACGCGGCGGGGGCGGGGCCAGCGAAGGGGGCCGCGGCGGCAGAGATGCGCGCGGCGATTCGAGCGGTTTGCGGGCCGAAAATCGGACCGGTAATCGGACCGACGATAGAGTGACCCTTCGCTGGAGTGACCTTCGGTGCTGGCTCAAGGGGGATCGAGTGATTTCTCCGATGGAATGATCTCGGCTTCGCGTCGGCACCCGCATGTCGCGATTACGCTCGCATCTGAGCGCGTCAGGTCTGGGCCCGCCCCTGGCAATCGACAGCGACGCGCGCGCGTTGCACCCTGCAGTTTGCATTGGTTGCGCGGGGGGGGGGCCGGTCGAACAGGCGGTGCATTTTCCGGCCCAGGACCATTCCCAGCCCAAATCCCAAAACGTCTGGGTTGAATCTCTTTGTAGGTATTTTGGTATATTGTTGGACTTCTTTGAATATTTTTGAGAATGTTTGAATGTGCTTTTCGAACCAATGGGGGTCCTTACTATTATCACTTATCCAAACATATGCAAACATGTTCCAGGCGCTCGGATGGGGCTGGTTTTGGCCGCGGCGCCGGGCCTGGTCAGGTGTCATCGCGACGCAGCCCGAAGTGCCATTCTGGGCGCTCGGATTCAATCGGCGGAATTTCGCGGTTGCCCACTGGCACGAAATCTTTTCGAGTGGCACCCTGCCGATCGTCGATTCGGCGCGGCAGCGCGCAACTTACGCGATATGCGTTGTGTCCCCACGGGCGCCCCTGAAGCCGCGCACCAGGGGCCACTCTAGCCTAGGGTCACTCCTGCGTGTAGTCGAGCACTGACCCTGACGATGGAACGTGGACTTCACGAGGTAGCCTGTGGGATGGCAGCTCGTGGCGTTCGGATTCGAGCGGCGCCAGAGATAACAGCTCATGGCGCGCGGTTTTGAGTCGGGTCTGGGATGGCAGCTCGCGGCCAACGAGGTCGCAGCGTGACCTTGGTGGCTAGTGATGCCCGCGGGTTCTGTCTCGTGAAATCCAGGGCTGCGTTGAGCGACTGAGCCTTCACCTCTGCAGCAGGAAGAAGTGCTACTCGGATTGGCGGCGCTGTGAAATCGTTCTTTTGAGTTGGCGCCCCGTGACGAGGTGCCGAAGGTGGGCGCGCGGGGTGAAGTTGCTCTGGTGCCCTCCGCGGGGGGGTGTAACCTTCGCTCCCTCCGTTTCGGTTTTGAGCTTCTACACGCGCGCCGCTGCACTCAACAAATTCATGGGGATATGACGCAGCTGGCGCGCCCTTCTAGCGCTCGCGTAGCACCATCCACGCTCACAACTACTTCGCATAACATAGCAGCTATGTCGGACACCCTTCATGATTCATCCATCTACAACATCCGTACGAAGGGATTGCCAGGACTATGAGCAAAGGATGCGCTCATGAATGTCGAATATCTGGCGGAAGACAAAACAACCCTTCGGAAACGTCGAGCTTTCAGGGCCCCGCGGGCTAAGCATCGATGCGCCGGAGATTTGGTTTTCTTTACTTTTGCAGAGCGCGGGCAGCAGGGAGGAAAGGGGGGGAGGGAAAGGGCGCAGGCGGGGAGGGTGATGAGGGATGAGGATTGTGGGAGGAAGGAGGGGTGCGAGGTGAGGTCGGGGACAGGAAGGCGCAGAAGTGATGGAGGCTTGGGGTACAGAGGAAGGGGCAAGAGGGCTTATGGTGGGAAGGGGAAGAAGCGAGGAGGGGGGAAGGGAGGTGCGCAGAGGCAAAGGATGAGGATGTGTGAAAAGGAGCAAGACAAAAGGGCCAGGCGCGTTTGAGGAGGGTGGGGCAGCAGAGGGGGTGAGGGGCAACCCGGTCTCAGCGACGGAAAACCGGATGTAATTGAGGAGGAGAGAGCGCGGGAGCAGGAGGGGGAATTTGGGTATGATGGGATTTGTTGTGCTCGGATCTGTTTGCGGAACTTGATAGCGGCGGTATGTACGACTGCATGAGGTCTGTTTGCAATCAGGCCGCGCCATGTGAGGCGGACCGCGTTCCATTGTGGTGTGGTAGCTTTCTGGGGCGTGGTAGCCTGCCGTTTGTTTGCCCGTTGCAGCCTCCACGTGCGCCAAGCGCGGTGGCACGGGCTCTCTTGCACGAGGGAGCGGCGTGGGTTTGTAATTATTCGATGAACGTATCGACCCACATGGAGTCTCGTACCGGTAGGGTCGCGTCGTGTCCACCGGCGGCGACTCCGCCGCCGGCGTTCAACCTTGAGCGCCGCCGGGGACCCAGAATCGGTTCATGTTGAACGATCTGTCGTTTTGGGAACGGCCGATCGTTCAAGGTTGAACGATCCCGGCGGTGGCAGGAACCCACGCTAGCGCCGACCGGCACTGCGTGAAGGCAATGTGTGTTATCGGGAGAGGCTGACGGTCAGGGCAAGGCGAGACCGTTCGGGGAAGCAGGCGGCCATGGCGTGCTTTTCTGGGCCATAGGTGCGAAGTTGTTGAGATGCGGGGGCGCAGTTCGGCAAACGGGAGGGTTCGACGGTGGGGCAGCTGATTTGGCCGTGTCCCCTGAATTGTCATGCGCATTGGCACGGAAACCCTTGGAAATTTCCCCAGTGCGCTTGTGAGACTGCAATTGCAATTTTCGTTCTGACATTGTACTGGACCCTTCTGCACCAGCACCAGATCGATCGATGAACTATCTGGCATGCGACCTCTACTGTCGTTAGACAAGTAGGAAGATGGGAAGCTAGCGAAGCAGTGTGTTTAGAGTGTCCGAAGGGGCGCAGAGGCCATTATCCCATCTGGGCTGCATCTCGGCGCAGCTAGGCTAGTCCCAGTCACTCCATTCACTACCACGCCAGGTTTAGGGAACAGCCTTCCACTCCTCGGCCCTATCGTCATTTGTCTGGCGAAAGTCCGAGGGGTCAGTCACTCGTCTCACCGCTGCGACTCAAAGACGCTGAGCTCAGGACATAGCCTTCGACTTCCGGTACAAGTCTGCCACCGCCTTGCTCAACCGCAGTTTGCAGGCTTGGGGCACGGACAGAGGTGGCTGGGCTGGACGATCTGAAGATGGTTTTGGCACAGCTTCGTTTGCAGAGGTTGGATGCGCAGCGTTTGTTCTGTTGTTGTTGAGCTCTCACTTCGGAACAGTACTTGTTTTTGACTCTCCCCACAGGTGCGCCTCAAGTGAAGTAAACCCTGTCGCCCCTCGCACCCTGTTCTTTGTCAAGGAAAACCTTTCGGTTCAAACTGAGTCACTTGTTTGGCCCCAGTTTCAACAGCAACGGATCTCGCCTGGTATTCTTAACAATTCTTCACGCTTCGCGTATACCCACCAGACTGCTCTGGCTTAGGCTTCCCCTTGCGTGGATGCGTTTTCTGATGCTGCGACGGTTCGCTGGCGCTGTCAGAACCTTTCTCCTGCTGGACGACGTCACCAGTTACTGTCTGCCCATACCCGTCAGACTCCCTGGATTGACTTTCTCGCACGGGGACCGTTCCCTACCACGCGGTTGTCTCTACACGATCGCGGCCTGGGACGTACTGCGCGCCATTTTGGCTGCGCCTGGCTCGCCCGTGGGCTGACCTTTCAGACTCCCTGGGTTGCAGCTTGCACGACCGTCTCAGGTGACTGACCTTTCAGACTCCCTGGGATTGCACGACCGCCTGGCCTCTCAGACGCCCTGGGTTGCCGCTGCTTGCCACCTGATCCGCGGCCCCGCGCGCGCTCGGGAATTTAGTCGCGGCCGCAGCCCGACCGTGACTGATCGCCGCCGGCGCTTCCGCCTGCGGCTGTAAAAAAATATCCCCACCAGAGGTACACTTCACTCTGGTACGCCAGTGTACCAAGGATAGGCGTGGCTCTGTGCATGCTTGTCACGTTAGATGCTCCCTGGTACGCGTTCCTGCTCTTATCGTTGGTTGCTAGTCGCCTGCGACTTGTGCCTGGTAGAAGATTGGGACAGTTGTACCTTCCGCATAGCGTCACATCATGTTACCTGATGGCTCGCTTGCGAACGCATCTCCGTTCGAGGTTGTCTTCCCGGGCCTGACGTGCCTTGTTCGGTTACAGACACTACGAATTTCGCGCCATTTTGGCTGCGTTGGTGCGTATTCTGAAGCTGCGACGGTTAGCTGGCGCTGTCAGAGTCCAACCTCTCCCTACGGTATGCAGTCAGGCGACAGCTTGCGCGTCTCTCGGACGCTTCTGCTTGAGCATGGTTCAGACACCTTGGACCCTATGGTACGCCATTCGCTGCGCCGAGGTTTGCAGACTCATTACTGTTCAGATAGTGTACCCAAGCGGCGTACTGCTTGGCCATGGCCTCAGACACCTTGGGGTTATTTGCATCGCGCCACTTTGGCAGCGTAGTTACAGACTCCCTGGGTGCAGGTCCCTGGGCGTCAGACACCCTGGGTTGCAACACCCTTGCACCCGCCGCCCCGGCGCCAGCCGCGGCCCGCGCGCGCGTCCGGCCAATCAGTTTCGGCCGCAGCCCGACCATTACTCGCCGCCGCTGGCGCTTCCGCCCGCGGTTGTAAAAAAATGTATCCCCACCAGCCCATTCAGAAGCCGTGCCCATGAGAGCTGACGGGAAAAGGGACGAAGAGGCACATCAAGAGAAACAAAGCGAGCAACCAGGGTGAACCGAGAGATCTCTGGGAGCAAGGGGGTGACCTTGGAAGGCCTCTTCGGGCCATCCCTGGGGGCCGCGTGGGGGCGAGGGGAAGAGGAAGAGGAGCAGGAGGAGGATGTGGACGAGGAGGAGTAGGAGGACGAGGACGCGGATGAGGACGAGGACGAGGAGGACGAGGACTAGGATGAGGACGACGCGGACGAAGACTTATGGAACCATCTAGAGGAATTATTGCGGCTGCTGCTGCTGCTGCTGGTGCTCTCTGGGAGTTTTTGGGGCCTTTTTGGAACCCTCTTGGTAACCCTGGAAGGCTTATTGGGATCATCTTGGAGGCCATCGATTACAGGATGGGGGGGTCCTCAACTCAGCTCCCCCCTCAGGAGCCCGCGAACCGATTCTTTGGGCTCTCTTGTTGCGCTCTTGGGCGCTCTTGGGGCGGTCTTGGGGCCGTTTGGAGTATCTTGGGAGCCATTTTGAGCCAGCTTGGGCTATCTGAGCCATCTTGGAGGTCATCTTGGGCTCTCTGAGGCCTCTCGGGTGCCTCTTGGGGCCCTCTTGGGACCCTCTTGGAGCCCTCTAGGGGCTCTCTTGGAGCTCTCTTGGGAGCCCTGGAGCGTCTCCTGGGGCCATTTTCGAGGCTATCGATCAAAGGAGGGAAACTCCCGATCGAGGTCCCCCCCTCGGGGGCCACGATCCTCGTGAGGGGTGTCAACAATTGGCCCTCCCACGGGCCCCTCCGACCACCCGCGACCGCCGCCGAAAAAAACCAGGGGAAGGGGTAGGGGGAGGGGTCAAGACGCCCTCCCCGCCCGCAAGCCGTCTCGCTCACTCCCATCCGCCCACCCAGCACATACGTAGCACCCGAGCCTGGCCCGAGCCGCAGCATGCAGCAGTCGTCTTTGGATGGGCAGCTACTGGGGGCGCATCCGCCGCCGCCGGCGCCTCCGCGCCGCCGCCGCCGACCGCCGCCGCGCCGGCGCCGCGCCCGCCGCAACCGCCGCGCTGTCCGGCCGATGCCGCCGCCGCGTCGCTGCCCGCGCCGCCGCCGCCGCCGCCGCACCGTGCAAATCGCCGCCCCGCCGCAGCCTCTGCCGCTGCGCCGAATCCGCTGCCGCCATGCTGCCGCGCCGCCGCCGCACACCCGCCGCCGCCGCCGGCCGCCGCCCCCGCCGGCCGCCGCCGCCGCCCCGCCGCTGCCACCGCCGCCGCGGCCGCCGCAGCCGCTGCCCCCGCCGCAGCCGCCGCAGCCGCCGCAGCCGCCGCCGCCGCCGCCGCCAAATGTACTTTGTTACCTAACAGCTTGTTCTGATAGGTTTCTAGTGGGGTCAAAAGAGAGCAGCAGATGACTCCACAGGGGGGTCTGGGCGGGTGCCGGACAGGGTGCCGCAGAAGTCGTTTTTTTAGCCAACAGTCACACACTTCGTGCTCTTCGACCTCCCAGAACTCCATTCCCGGGCCACATTCTGAATGCCCGGAGCCAACTGTAGGCCACTTCGTGCTCTTCGACGTCCCAGAACTCCATTCCCGGGCCACATTTTGAATGCCCGGAGCCAACTGTAGGCCACTTCGTGGTCTTCGAGTCCCCAGAACTCCATTCCCGGGCCACATTTTGAATGCCCGGAGCCAACTGTAGGCCACTTCGTGCTCTTCGATTCCCCAGAACTCCATTCCCGGGCCACATTTTGGATGCCTGGAACCAACTGTAGGCCACTTCGTGCTCTTCAAGTTCCCAGAACTCCATTCCTGGGCATGATTTTGAATGCCCGGAGCCAACTGTAGGCCACTTCGTGTTCTTCGAGTTCCCAGAACTCCATTCCCGGGCCACATTTTGAATGCTGAGGCAGGCTGGTGCTGAGGCTGAGGCAGGCTGAGGCTGAGGCAGGCTGAGGCTGAGGCCGAGGCTGAAGGCAGACTGAGGCTGAGGCTGAAGCAGACTGAGGCTGAGGCTGAGGCAGGCTGAGGATGAGGCTGAGGCAGGCTGATGCTGAGGCAGGCTGAGGCTGAGGCTGAGGCTGAGGCTGAGGCTGAGGCTGATGCAGGCTGAGGCTGAGGCAGGCTGAGGCTGAGGCCGAGACTGAAGGCAGACTGAGGCTGAGGCTGAAGCAGGCTGAGACTGAGGCTGAGCCAGGCTGAGGCTGAGGCAGGCTGAGCTGTGACTGTGACTGCCCGTTGCCCCCCCCCACTGCGGACGGGTCATTCGCGATGCGACTACGACTGCGAGGAACAGCAGAATCTACAATGGATTCCATCTGAATCTTAAGGGGAATGCTTCCAGATATGCTCCTACACATCGTTGTTATGGGGTCCCCAGAACTCCATTCTCGGGCCACATTTTGGATGCCCAGAGCCAACTGTAGGCCACTTCGTGGTCTTCGAGTTCCCAGAACTCCATTCCTGGGCATGATTTTGAATGCCCGGAGCCAACTGTAGGCCACTTCGTGTTCTTCCAGTTCCCAGAAGTCCATTCCCGGGCCACACTTTGAATGCTGAGGCAGGCTGATGCTGAGGCTGAGGCAGGCTGAGGATGAGGCAGGCTGAGGCTGAGGCCGAGGCTGAAGGCAGACTGAGGCTGAGGCTGAAGCAGGCTGAGGCTGAGGCTGAGGCAGGCTGAGGCTGAGGCTGAGGCAGGCTGATGCTGAGGCAGGCTGAGGCTGAGGCTGAGGCTGATGCAGGTTGAGGCTGAGGCAGCCTGAGGCTGACGCCGAGGCTGAAGGCAGACTGAAGCTGAGGCTGAAGCAGGCTGAGGCTGAGGCTGAGGCAGGCTGAGGCTGAGGAGGCTGACTGTGACTGTGACTGCCGTTGCCACTGCGACTGTCATCGCGAATGCGACTACGACTGCGAGAACAGCAGAATTCTACAACTGGATTCTCATCTGAATCTTAAGGGGAATGCTTCCAGATATGCTCCTACACATCGCTGTTAGGTTGCTTTGCCGGGATAATTTTGTTTTTGACAGGGATGGTGGGGGGAGGCCGCATCGGGTTCGCTGCGCATGCTCCAAATTTGGAGGCAAAGTGTGTTTTGTTACCTAACAGCTTGTTCCGATAGGTTTCTAGTGGGGTCAAAAGAGAGCAGCAGATGACTCCACAGGGGGGTCTGGGCGGGTGCCGGACAGGGTGCCGCAGAAGTCGTTTTAAGCCAACAGTCACACACTTCGTGTTCTTCGACTTCCCAGAACTCCATTCCCGGGCCACATTTTGGATGCCCGGAGCCAACTGTAGGCCACTTCGTGCTCTTCGAGTCCCCATAATTCCATTCCAGGGCCACATTTTGGATGCCCGGAGCCAACTGTAGGCCACTTCGTGTTCTTCGATTTCCCAGAACTCCACATTCCCGGGCCACATTTTGGATGCCCGGAGCCAACTGTAGGCCACTTCGTGCTCTTCGAC